GATTGAGATTTTCTTTTTTGAATCAAACTCTGTAATTAAGATGTTTACAAATTAGGCTTATGGGAAAATACTGTTTCTCTGCTGCTGAAAAATAAAATTTCATACCAGTGGCATTTTATTCCTTATATCTTTAAGTACAATAATAATGCTAGGGTTTTTTTCCTCTAATTCAGTTAAGACCACTTTTAACTTCACAATTTTCCAGTTTTTCATTTTCAAAATATACTCACACAAAATGAGTACTTTTCATTTATCTCAGAGACTCCAAGGAACATAAAACATAAAAAGAGGGGCTGGGGATTTAGCTCAGCAGTATAAGCGCCTGCTTTGCAAGCGCTCGGTTGTGAGTTTGATCCCTGGTACCGATTAAAAAAAAATATATATATATATATATATATATATATATATATGTAGAGAGAGAATAATTTAGGTCTGAGAACACATTCCTATCTTAATCTGTAAATATGAAGTATTTATGTTTTAATGACTTTCCTCTGTCTTAAGATACAAACAAAAAACTAGTAAAAAATACACACAGGCATACAATTCTGTCTCCACAAAAACCAGCACGCATCTTTATGATGCCTACAAGTGAAACCAAAGAAAAGAGACGTGCATCCTACAAATTACTAACACTTTTCAGTTAGTGCAGTAATTCCATACTGATGAACACACAGGTACACATTAAAAGCACGGTTTACTGGTAATCCTGCTTCTTTCTGGGTCGTCTTCCCCATCTTCAGATCACCTCACCAAGCCCGTTTTGGCACAAGATTCCCCATTAGACTAATTTAGCACGTGCCTTCCTACTATTATTATGTCACTGGAATTCTTACTCTGGCAGGAAATATTTATGAGCATCTACTTGCAGTGAGTCTCTGGGTTAGAGTTTGAGGACAGATACCATGACGACAGATTGGTCTCCCAAGTCACACGATGTGATGTCTGATTTCAAATGTTTTAACTTCAATCCTCATTTGGCAAATGAATCCTACTAATCCAAAGACAAAGAGGGTCATAACTGAACAAGCATATAAATTCTTGTAGTGTGACTCAATACACATTCAAGTCAAGGGGGTGGTAAGTCCACTCTTTAACTAAATATGCCAACAATTTTTCTTGAGAATTCTTAAGAATTCATTTTTTATATTTTATTTGCAATAAAGAGGACCTTAGCTAGGCATGGTAGTGCACACCTCTAACCCCAGCACTTGGGAGACTGAGGCAGGAGGATTGTTGCAAGTTCAAGACCAATCAGGGTACAAGTGAGTTCAATGTCAGCCTGAACCACAAAGTGAGACCCTGTCTCAAAAAGAAAAAAAAAAAGAAGAAGAAGAAAAAGAGGACTTTTTGCAGGTCTCCATCAGATAGGTTAAATAAAAAAATTTCTCATTTTAAATTAGTTATGATTTAAAACCCCCATTTAGCTTCCTATTAAATAAGTTAACACTCCAGATAATATAGGTTGGCTCTTCAGACAGACCCAATTTTATCTGACATTGCTCTCTGGTCTAGCTGGGCATTCCTGTTCTCCTCCAGTATCTTCCTATTTCTCAGCACTTCTGTCCCTGGAAGCCTTTCTCTGTCCTTTCCAGTGATGCAGGCTACTGGTGTTCAGGGAACCTTTTACCAAGAGAACTGCACCCCACTGCAGAACTAACCGGGCCCTGGCCCCCAGAGCCCGCCGCTGTGTACAACAGCTAGCACTGAGAGGTCAGGTTCTGTGAGCATCCAGTCCTACTGCTCTGCTCGGTGCTGCAGACATTATTTTCTCACTTTGTTTGTCTTATCACAGTAAAAGTTTGCCCAAGACAACGCTGAGTGGATAGTCGGTAAACTTCTGTTACTGACAGATACAAAGCAACATCAGCATTCCCTGGGACCCAGAACGCTGCTCAGGAAAAGAGTTCAGAGGCTTTTGTGAGATAATGGTTTGCAAGGGCAGCAGCTCAAATTTTTCTTCCAATCCCAGAGGAAATCTAGAGGAAATGGGTAAATGCCCCTAAGGCTACAACCATAAATTTTACAAGTTGAATCTAATGAATCAAGGGAGGATTGTGGAAAATCGATGCCTCGGCTCAGAAATGGATACAAGATCTTTCATTGGAATGGAAAAATGAAAAGTTCTTCTAAGAATATTTTAGGACACTTTTCAAAATGAGTTAGCTATTGATAACTGGATAAACCACAGCTTTCAAAGCGGGGATTCTGCAATGCTCATGTGTATGAGGTCATCTGTATGTTTATTTATATATGTATGTGTGTGTATAAATGCACAAGCACAATGCATACAGATATAGCACACACATATACAATGTGCATATACACAGATCTACATATATGTTTATAAACGCAAACATTTGAAAGACCTGGGAGACAGCTGCTGCTGACTATTGGCATGACAGAGTTTATTCAAGACGCCCCCTCCTCAGCAAGTCAAGTAATTTCTGTATACATATATTTGAGGTACTCGGGACTCTTGAATATTTGTCACAAAATCAAAATGTTCATTAGAACAATATGAAAATATTAACATAATTTCTGCAGCTATGGTTATATATGCCTAATTATAAATACAATTCATTTGAGGTTATAAATAACGATGGGATCTCCTGGAAATTTACCCACAACATCTGAAACCTCATACTATAAGAACTTAACATCTTAAAAAATTTCCTAAGGAGTGACACTAAGACAGACCAACCATATCAAACTACATTACTGGGACATATTCGGAGCTCAATGATATACAAAGAAATACACAATTGCACTGCCAACCTATAGTGTGTTTTCTTATAATTCATCCAACATAATTTCTGAACTGAATCTAAATGCAAGGCTACTAAACTATGGTTGCTGTTTTGGTATTTGGTTACTATGGGCTTGCAAAGCCTGGGATGATTGCACTCATTTAGGACACTTGGAGTTTGCACACCTGCAAACATGCCACCCTCATACCACCTGTACACACAGAAGGACTCCACTTCGTGTGTCTCACGAGAATCCATATAAATGAACGACAAGGCATGAAACCAATTCCAGAACGTTTTCTGCCTGGAGATATTCACCGTATAACATCACACACAATGCCACGAATGGCTTGCTATCAGCTTGTTTCTCTACCATCCTAATGCTTCTTGGCTCTCAGGAAGTTTTTAGTCTCAAAAGGCAGTAAGTAAATTCCCCAGGGAAAGTTCTAAGCAATATTTCTTTTAGTACACAGGTTCTGTTTCATTTCCAATGACACACTAGCATTTCTGTTTTTATTTTAAAGTTGTCACCCAAAAGGAGGGTTTCTAAATGTAGATTTGTTGTAAATTTGAAATCTTTCTTTTGCTTTCAGTCATCCTCCCTCCTTCCTTCCCTTGTATCTATCTATCTGTTCATCATCCATCCATTCACCCACCCACTTCTTACTAACTTCTCAGTTCGTTACTCTTCTCATCTTCTAACCCAAGACTCAAATCCTGCTTGAATAATGCCTGTGGCCTGGTGGACCACAGCTCGCTGGTTTTAGGAAAAATAAGGATTCTTACTAAGTCAGATGTTTGAGTCTAAATCATTGGCCTGGTGATGTTTCTGGGTTTTGAGTCTTAAAATTATTGAGCCCTGCATTCTGTAACATAAGTTCCCCTTCTTGACCTTTTTTCATGAGCTCTGCTGTAATTGATACTGCAATTGGAATGACTGAAAGGTAAGGAAACAGAGAATCTATGGCAGATTGGCAGCATATATTTTATCACTCACAAAACAGACTTCTTTCCCTCTGATAATAAAGGATAATTTAATGTTGCTGAATCTTTCCTCCCTTGAATAAAGTACAAATACTAATAGAATTGACAGACGTGTAGTTTAAAATAGATTCTCTTGTCTTCTTTCGTTGCTTAAATATAATATCTGAACCTAATGTTCATTGTCTGACAAAACAATACGTAAAAATACTCAGATTCCAGGTAAACTGTTAACCTCTGTTCAGCTTATTTTTATGTAGTGAATCATAATGGCTCTAACTACATTTGTTTGCCTTTGTTTTTGCTGAGATATTTTTCTGTGACCACAAATGGACTTCTGACTTGGCTGCAAGCTGTTGTAGGTAATGTTATCAATGCAAGAAGAAAGTGACCTGAATGGTCATCAGGCAGAATCACACAGTATCTACACAGCCGAAGGGGATGCAGCTCTGAAAAATGACAGTGATACGACCACAAGAAAATTACTACCAGACAAAAAGGCCACCGAGGGCTTATGACTGTAGGACACTGCTTGCAGTTTGGAAAAGAAGGTGACTGAGGAAAATATCCTGTCACTAAGAGTGGCACAGAAGTGGGGGGGCAGAGGAGGCCACAGGACGCTGTCCCAGGCCATGGTGCCAGGCACCAGCAGTTCTGGTGCTGTAGGGAGAGATCAGGAAAGCTCGCCCATGTGCAAGGCGGGGTCTTTCTTTCCCTACAACACTCCCTTTAACAAATGTGTACATATATGTGCCCTGAAAGTGACAATAGGAAGGCTATCCTGCAAAACTGCAAAAGCAATTAAAAGAAATACTGTCAGACAGAGCCATTTTTTTTCATTATCTATGTCAAAATTAAACAGATTATTTATGTCAAATATGAAGACTTAATTGGTTTCTTTCAGCCACCAACAATTATTTCTCTTAATGCCAGTTGTTCAGAGTTCAGGAAATTGAACATATTTCAATCTTAATCTCTAAAACATAACTAGTTGGGTAATACAGCTATAATAGAACAACCCAGTGCATTCAAAATCCATATGTAAATAACTTCTAAGATGTTTTGGATTATTTGTAGCATTTTTAAATACCATTCACTATTGGGAGAGAAAAAGACGATTTAATATTGCACATATTTAACTTCTCTTTAAAATGTTTTCAATTATTTACTGCAAAATTACAACTTCTTGCCTTCTCCAAATAGGAAAGCATTTGACACACAAGTAAAACAAATATTTCCAAGTTAATATAATTGCTAAAAAACACTTACCAATGGAAAACTGGAGGACAGAAGCTGTCGTGGTGTTTAGGCCAGTGGTAGTCTAGGAAGAGAAATACACAAAGATAAGATACAAAAACAGGAGGGCAAGAGCCTTTGGAAGGCCAGGTGTCGGGGTAGGGAAAGAAAGGGTCTGTCGGGGAAGGTTCGGCTCATCCAGTTGCTGTCTCTTTTTTATCAGCGCATCTGCGGAACTTTAAGATGCAAACTCAGGCGCAGATACCAAACGTGGCAGTTGAAACTGCTAGGCGCAGTCTGCCGGGTCATCTGGGAGAACCTTTCACGAAGCCCTCTCAGTCCACCACCCTCCATCCTCCTCCAGGCCTGGGGCTCAAGGGCGAGTGTCATAAGCAGGCTGCCAAATAGAAACTGGGAGGCAAGTTAAAAACAAATGATCAGAGTACGATTATTTTGAAAAGTAACCACAAACTACAACAGACAAGTGATGCAGGACTTTGGGTGGCGAGCATGTTCTAAAATCCACTGCAACAATGGTCGCATAACTTTGTGAAGAAGCTTGAAAATTAAAGGATTACGGGCTGCATAGATGGTTTCTAGAATGAACAAGTAAGAGAGAAGGAGAAGAGGTGGAGGCAAAGGGGGGAGGAAAGAGTTAATTAACTAATTAATTAACTATGAGCCTAGACAGAGCCTTTCCACACACTTCGGCTGCATTTCTTTGTTTCAGGGAAGAAGTTTGTTCAATTTTCTCCCTTCTGGAAGAGAAATGATGATCTGTGCTAAAACTTTATTATTTATTCTTTGGAGCAGCGCTGGGCTCAGGGGAGATGGAAAGTGTGGTCTCCTTTGTCAGGTGCCTTTCACGCAAGCCTGGGGTGCTCTGCCTCACTCTGACCATGAAAAACACGAGCATGCACCCGGGTTTCAGCAGGCTGCCTCCCCTTACTCCCTCGATGTTGACAGCTTTAGCTCTACCCCTGTGCACTGTGAAAACCCAGCCTGCAGAGGCCGGGGAGCCTGTGACCCCCGCGGGTAACAGGTCTCTTGCTGTGCCTGAACCTGGTGGAGATGCGGCTCCAGGAAGATCTGCAGCAGCATGTGGAGAGACGGTGAGGACTGGAGGTGGGTTTTAAACACACCTTTAAAATCCAGTGCTGAAGCAGCAAACGTAATGGAGGGAAGGGCTTGAGGGATGTTTTATAAGTAATCCAGGCAACCAATAATCACTCTTGATTTACTTCAAACACAGCGAAAGTTACTGGCCTCAGAATGACAGGGAAACTCTCCTCCCACTTCATATGAGTCTGCCCACTATGTTTACGCCTCTCCTCCCTGTTCTCTTTCCCTCACCAGAGCCAGCCAAGAGAAATGCAGGATGAAATTCCATGATAAGAAGCCTAGCTCTTTTTTTTAAAGCTTTTAGAGTAAGTTCAACTACATGTTCTGGAATTCACTCAGATAACTTGCTCTTAAAATCCAAAGAGGCACAACACTGATAGAGCAATCTTTTTTTAATTTCACATTGATCGAATGGTTTTATGTAACTGAGCAGATTCTCAGATGAATTATGAAACACTTCTGGATATAGATTCTTTGGGATAATGATGTTATATAAATTAAAGGTACCATGGTTATTGCTACTGCTGGATGTTAAATAGTCTACTGGGTCTTTGATACTTAGCCTGGTCACGCAATAAATAACACTGCGCCGTCTGCCTGAACAAGTTCCACAGCTGTGACCTCTGCTATCAAGTTGCATGAATTACTGCTGAATTTCAGATGACATAGGCTGACTGAGAGTGGCCCTACACCTTGAGTCATCGATTCTACATTTTTTTCTTCAGCAGGGAAGCTAAGGGCTGCCACAAGGGTTGAGTGTCATTTCTCTATCTTTATCCAGTCACTTTAAGCTGACAGCTAAAAAAGAAAAAGAGAGAGTAAAAATGATGAAGAAAAAAAGTAACAAGATTGCCTATAAAAATCTATTTATCTGCATTTGTAATTGGATATTATAAATTATTAATTAATCTTGAGTTCCAATTTGTAACTTACTCTGTAAAGGTAGTAAGCCTCTATATCTGACAATCTGAAAACCAAAGGACCTCTTACAGTGCCTTTGACAAATAATCTAGCAAGCATGAATGTCTGGTGGAGAACATTTTTCCTGCCAAATCCCAGGGCTCTTAAATAAATAGACTTTTAACTACAGAAAATCAGTGTAATTAGTAAGTGAACCTGAAGAATTCAATGTAGGCTGAGATGGTTCATTCTAAAAAATTTTTACTGTCTTAATGGTATTTTAATCCAGATTCATCTTTGTTACTAAAATATATTCTCAAATATGTATGTGAAAATAATTCAGTAAATCAAGCTTTTTTCCCCCAAATAGAAGAGTCAGATTAGAGATAAATCTCAGTGTTAGAGAAACAGCTTGCCAGCGTGTTGTGAGATCCCAGGTTTGAGCCCAGCACCCACAAACAAAAATAAGCACTAAGGAGCACAACACAACTCATTTCAACTCTGGACAGCATACATTCTCTTAAAGCAATAGATAGCAGGCTCCTTTTAACCTTCATTCCATACTACACTGGACAAAGCTCAGTGCCACCACCTGAAGTTAGGGTACTTCAAAGGGCTAAATCTAACACATACAGTGGTCAAGGAAACACAAACTCATGGGGTCCCCAGATAGTAGAAGTAACATCTTTGATTGCCTTTAGCTTTTAATGACATGAAATAGCTACTTAACCAAATTCTCAAAATGAGGATGTAACAGGGGGTCCTTTGAAATTGACCTCTACTCCCCTTCTGCTCTGGCCTTTCGGAAGAATGACCCAGTCATTGTCCTGACTCCACTGTGCTTCTCTGACTTGTTTCTTTGAGTCACTTTTCCCCAGCTCCTGGACTCAGCAGCGCTCCCAGTACCAGACCCAGACAAAGATCGACCAGGCCACAGCCTGACCACCACTGCCAAGACTTCTCACCCCGTCCTTTCTCTTCCCTGTATTGTCCTGGCGCTATTGCTAGTACCCCAAAGGCAGTTCCTGAGTCACGAGCCCTCTGTTATTCCCAGTGTTGGCCACACTAAAACAAATTCCTTCCCCATCTGTCTGCTGTTTGGAACTTACTGGGCTGAATGATCAGACCTCGGCTGTTGGGATCTCTGGAACCAGGCTTCTGGCATAGGACCCCAATAGAAGAGATGCTCTTTTTAGCATTTCAAAACATAAATCTTTAGCCTATTAATGTTCTTTGCCCATTAGATTTATGAAAAATAAGAAGGCATCATGTAAAAGAAGTGATGCTTAAAAAAAAAGTGATGTTGGGAACAGATGTCTCTCATTGGTTCTCGGGCACAATGTCTTAATGGGATTCAGCTTTGAAGTATCATGCATGGGTTTAGATTTTGGTAAACGCAATGCTAGCTGGCAACTGAATGCCTCCTTTTCACTTGATTGATCTGATTTATATAAACAAGAGTTAGATACAATATGCTGTGTAGTTTGCTTCTGGGATCCCAGTACAACACACAAATTGCTGAAAATTAAAATAGATAGTGTAAAATATGGGTGTCATCTCACTTTTCTGTTTATCTTCATCCTTTTAGGCCCTTTGAATCTATAGTATAAACATCCTAGGAAAACACATATGGTGGGAATATAAAATTATGTACTTTTAAAAATTTATCTGAAGATAATCATTTTGAATATTTTTCTTTTTGTTAAAAGGCTAATCTCACATTAATTATATGATGTATTAAAAACTAGTTTACTAGGATATCAACTCTAATGCTAAGTAAATTGGGCTACAGTGAAACAGGATTAAATACACATAGAATCAAATAAACATTTCAGTTTTTATAATGTGGAGCTATCAATTCTAGCAATATATTTTAGAATTTTTAATTTCTTATTAACCAGTAGAAACAAAAAGAATTTGTCAAGATTTCCAGAAATATTACTGAATGGGGATACCTTCTAAGGAAGGTAATTACTCTAAGCTCAATTAACTATGATTAAACTTTAATTTTATTTTTAAAGTTTACAGATAATTAGATCTGTCATGGTAGGTTATTTTAAATGTACTAGAAAATCTATTTTTTTCAGGAAGAATTTCACTATCAGTCACATTTGTCTGCAGGAATATTAAAACACCTTGCAAGATCTGAATTATGAGCACCTATTATTTTAATTTGCATCCAATTAATTCTATTTGTGTTCTAATTTCAACTGAAAACTCTTGAATTCATCAATGTTCTGAAGCTCCTAGCTGTAAAAAATTAAATGTGTCTATTTCCATGAAAGAGGTATTCAAGTAGCATAAAATAAGAACCATGTTGCAAAAACTAATTGGCTTTCACATTTTGATAACTAAGTCTTTTAATTGTCTATCTAGGGTCCCCCCCCCCGCTTGCTATGGAAGCCAGTTTTTTTAAGAAACATTAAAAGTTAATGATTCGAAAATACAATGTGTGACATAAAGGAAAAGTACAACCTGTGACTAAAAGCCCCATGAAAACAGATGGGAGGAGAGGAAGGGAAAGAAGGAGAGCGGGAGAGGAGAAGGGGGAGGGGAGGGGAGGGGAAGGGGAGGGGAGGGAAGGGGAGGGGAGAGGAGGGGAGGGCAGAGAGAAGAGAGGAAGGGGAGAGAAGGGAGAATGAATTGCAGTTCAAGTTGTGAAGCAGAAAGAAAGCAGGAAAGGTGTTACAGAAACAGTACTGGGAGCAAGGTGAGCCAAGATACAGCACAACTGCTTTATATTCCTTCTCAGGAATGTGATCTCCACGTCACAGAGAAGGGTCAGCAGGGAAGGCTCATTAACCACATCCGGTAGCTCTGGTGTCACTGCTCATAGTTTAGAACGCCCAGGCTTCAGTTTGAATCATTCAGGAACTTACCTTTGGCAGGCAAGGGTAACGTAAGTTTAAAAAAAAAAAAAAAGAAACCTAGTCTTGAGTAATTAGGCACCAACCAAAATTTCTTAGAAATTTCTTCACTCTGTGTGCCTTTTCATGTAACAAAGTGAAAACAGCCACTGGAATTCGTCGATGGCTAGGAACCCAATGTTTAAAACAGTAAAATAAGACATCTAACATTTTTGACTTGCAAAGAGAAAATAAGGACAATTTTAAGAGCAAGGCTTTACATAAGAATTTGAGTCATAAATTCCTTAGACATGATCTGTATTACATATGTATCACATGCATATTTTTAAAAAGCTATCTATCATGGTGATGAACCATGTTTAGTGAGGCTCATCAGTGTTACCAACTTCATTACTGAATTCTTTATTTTTTATTTCTTAATTTTTTGAATTCTTTATTTTTATATTTGAAAATACATCATATAATCATCCCTCCCAATTTTGAGATCTGTTTAATAGGACCCATAAATAATACTTCAAATTTTCATCTAAACCGTGAGGGCGTAAGAAGCGCTTGCAGACAAAGATCTCAGGAGATGCTATCATGGTGTAAGATACATAGGTGGCATGCACTTACCAGTTCTCGCGGACCATATGGCTCACAGAATGTGACAGCATTGCCATGCATAATCGCACCGCACTGCTCACCGATCTCGCAGTTGTTACATTCAACCCTGCAGGAACACAGAACAGATTCCCAGTCTGAGACCTAAGTGGTGGTTTCCTGCTCAGGTGAGGGAAGATGTCGTGGTTACTGTTACTCAGCTCTGATCACTACTCCGCAGAAGGTGGCTGCGTTTTGTACCATGAGAAGGTTCCAAAGACCTGAAGCCACTGAGACCCCTGAACATAAATCTCAATTCTCTGTTACTCATACTGTAGAAAGGTACTTGAATCTCCCACAGTTTCACTTTTCTCCCCTGTAAAATGAGGATAATCATAGGAAACTAAATCTCAGTTATTGGGAGATTAAATGAGGAAGTATTTATGAAACAGTACAGGACCAATCTATGGTAGGCGGTGTATGATGGAAATGTTATTAGTAACAAGTAACATATTATGTACCGTACAAAAATGGTTATAAGTATTAAAATTAGGCAAAATAATATCCACTTATATAATAAATTAAAAATCTGTACCTCTGAAATCGAATCTTTTACAAGTGTAAAAGCTCTTTTTCATTAGTCAGTGTAAATATTTAAAATAAAGGTCCTCAAATAAATGTGTGTGTACAGTGTGCTAAAAATAGTGAAATCAGATGTTATATTTAAATTATATTGCTGCAAAATATAAGTTTAAATTCAAGCACATTTCGGATGCTGAGTACTATGTTAACCATGAAAATAATTTAATTAGCTGCTTTATTATTATAAAAGTGTTTAACAACTTAGGACACAACCTCAAACATAAAGTTATTCATGCTATCTAGTAGAAACTGAAAGTGCACTATTATAGGTTTGACTTTGTACGTTTGTGGTAACGTTTATAATGCTGTGCATGGCGACATTTTAAACTACAATCGTTATACACCTAACATGTAGACACAAAGATCTGTGTTTCCCCTGTCTGATCCTTAACCCACATGAGAGCTGTATTTCATGTTGAAAGAGCACTTTCAAAGACTTGCACATTCCAGGTGCCAAACTCCCTGGAAAGGGCACCATGCCCTTTGCTTCAGCCATCACTGCATTATCGCTCTCAGCTGTTTGCTGATTTCAGCGAGGGAGCAGGAGCTCCCGCCCAAGCAGGAGGACAGGAGTGCAAAGAAATAATGTAGCTCGTAAAGTCAAAGTAGAAGCACAGTGAGTCTTTCCAGCTATGCGTGTCCACGAGATCAACAACGGCAAGTGTTTTTCTAAATTATTTTAGAAGAGACAAAAATAAATTTCCAATAACACCTTTAAAAGGTAGCTTACAATAACACAAATCTTAGTAGGATTTTCTCTTGATTACTGGGAAGCAAGAATCTAATAAATGTCCTTGACATTAGAAGAGACATAGTAGTAACTTTGCAAAGGCAACACACACATCTCCTGTTCTTCATTTATGTATGTTATATTCCACAAATATGTGTGGCATGAATGAATACAAGACAACCTCACAAACACAACAACAATTATGGTCAGAGGTCTGAAAACTTTACAACAGCACCTGCCACAAAGTAAGCATGATGTGTTAGCTATTATTTCGATTATGAATTTCTCAAAGATTTCCACCACTGTCATCTGTTGCAGAACTAGAGTAGTTGATTTCCCACTTGCACACAGAGGATCCGTTATATGAACTGCTTACTACTGTTTTTTTAACTCTTTACACTGCGATTGTGAAAAAAGTACAGAAAAGTAGCATGAAATTTACAGTGGGCTTCTTTAGAGATAGATAAGGATTATGTGGTGTCAGAGTCACTGTGAAATGGCTTGTGAGAAACATCAGCTTTGACAGAGAGAAAATTAAAAGTATGTTCAAAAATCACGCTGGTCATCTTCCATCAGTCTCCAGGGACACTTTTATTAAGACATCACTGGGGATATGAAATCTAAAGTCTGCTGTTTGGATTTTTGTAGCAATCATTCTATTTATGTATGCTCATCAATAATCCTAAATCATCTGTAGATCAAAAAATACTATCTAGAGTAAATAAGCATTGTCCACCTCCTGCACTGTTTTGATTCAATAGGATTCACTGGAACCCTAATATCTGCATTTTTAAATAGTGATACTGATGTATGTGTTCTGTAATCTGGAATTAGACAACCAGTCACTACACAATAGATATATGATGTGTTTGGCAAATTACTTATATTTTTGTGGACTAGCTGTGGTTAAAACACACTCACTCACACACACACACACACACACACACACACACACACACACATACACACACACAGATGAGGAAAGCAAATAGATACAGCTCTTCTCTGTTTGGTTCAACGTCCCCTCCAGACCTTTCTCTTATGCTTTGTGCTATATATCAAAACTTTACAATAAAATTTTAAAAAGGCATTGGTACCCTGTCAAAGAAATGTAAAGATTTATAATGGTTCAATATTACCCACTGGGTTGTGATCTGGACGAACGATGGCTTCACCAGAGGCTGTCTAGCAGAGGCTGATGGGATAAATCTGTCAGCTTTCTGCCAAAGTCTTTTAAATGCAAAGGCTTGTGCTCCTCACAGTCTGACTGGGTTTGTCAACATAATTTATTTTAATTTACCCTGAATGTCCATCCCTCTAGGTGGTCAAATCGAACCCTCTCTTAACTGCCAGTGGCGTTATTTATTCGTTCATCACTTATTAATTCATCCTTGTATTTAAGAGATTTATGTTGAAGGGTTACAGGCACAATGCTAAGCTTTAGGACAACAAAGACCAATGTAACACTGTCATTTCTTCCTAGGAGTTCACTTTCCAGATGGAAAGGCAGAGAAGTCAACAAACGGCTATGATAGAGGCTGTCCATGCAACACTAGACACTTTCTGAATTCTAGTATTGTGGGATATCGAAGTCCATTTAATCTTTCAACCTCAGACTGGACAGAGTGGTCACTGTTGTCCTCATTTTACTAGTAAGAAAACTTGAGGTTCAGAAAAGAGAGATTTGCTGAAGGCTGCAGTTTGTACCCGGGGCTTGCTCACTGCAGTACCCTGGTTTCTTAGAGTGGGATTATTCTCTGGCTGTGTAGCACCTCTCCAAGACCAGAAAGTATGGGACGCTTCCAAAGGTGGTCTTAAAACCGGTTCTGAATGAGAAACAGGAGTTTCCTACTCAAGGAAAATGGTGAATGTGTGACACAGCACGGAAAGTGTGAGTCCCAAACTGAACTCCTGGTTCAGTGAGTCTGTAGGTCTGAATCCATACTGGAACATACAGAAGGACAGCAAAGGGTGTGACCAGGAAGTGGAGTGCTTCCTCCAGCCCGTACCAGGTGCAGGTTCTGTACTAGCAGCTCTATAAACCATGCATCAACTAATTCACACACACTCTCTCCCTCTATTCTTAAATCCCTTGTAGAAGATGCTAAAACTAAGATTTAGAGATATTATTCCAAGCTACACAGCTAGTAAATTATAGAACTGGGTACAAACATCATTTTTCTCTGCAAAGCTACCAACTTTTAGGACAATTATCCTAGCAAATAATGACTGGGAAGTATATAAGATGGAAGGCTACCGCTATAACCCAAGTAAGAAATATAATTCTTTGAAATAAGGTGGGTGTGGAAAAAAGGCGATCCATCAGAAGAGGATCACTGTTCAACAAACATGCAATGGGAGGCACACAGGCAATTCAAAATTTTCTCATGGCTACACTGAAATCTCCATGTATTTTTTTTTTTCGTTTCCTTTTCTTTAAATTAAAAAAAAAAAAAAAAAGGAACCAATGAATTAGTTTTAATAATGTTTCATTAAATCCAATATATTCAAGTTATAGTATATTTTCACATGTGACTAATATAAAATTATTAATTTCTTAGCATATATTCTTTTCATACTATACCTTTAAACTATAGGGTGCATTAATTTAAACTTACAGCACATCTCAGTCAGATTAGTCACATTTCAAGGGCTGAACAGTCCATGTAAGACTAGTGCCTATCGTATTGGACTGTAGAGAATGCTAGGGAATTTCGGAACTTGGAAACTGTTCTCTGGTAATGCTGACAATTTGAGATGACCAACTGGACTTTCAGAACTTCATGGCTGATGTGACAGTGTAGGATCTGGTTGAAACCATGGGAGTGCAGATTTTTAGGGGTGGGAGAGAGGGAAAGGTACACAAAGAAGATAAGAGGTCCAAGAACAGATGCCTGGGGACAATGAGATTGGCCTTATTCTAGTTCGTGGAAAGGTCAGCCCACATCACAGCCTTTCACTGTGACTCCACTCAAGCCTATCACCCCTTACTTTTCCGTGATGATTGGTAGTGTGTTTCATTTCTGTTCTTGTTCCCAGCCAAACTTGTGCTGCTATCCAAGTGAGAGCCCGATAACCTGACATTCTTAGTATTTTTTTCTATTGTTAAAGTTAAGCCTTCTATAACTACAAATATGAATGCATTATCATAAAAGACAAGAAAAATCATAATTTCATCATGAACACAAGGGTCCTGATGGTGACCAACAAGCGTGCAAAGACACTGGTGGTCATTGTTTTTCAAAGAATAGGGATGCACGTGACTTAGTCACTTTCTTGTCATTGAGTCACAACATTCACAAGTTAAAGGAGGAAAAATTTATTTTGGCCCATGGTTTTTAGAAGACTCAGTCTATAGCTGGCCAACTGCAAGGCGGGAAGGCCTGGTGGAAGGGCTGGGTAGAGGAAACTGCTCACGTCATGGTGGCCAGGAAGCAGAGAGGGAAGGGAGGAGTCAGGGAGGGAGATTTATTTTCTCTCAGTGAGGAAAGTGACCTCAGTGAGTCACCACTTTCCACCAGAGCCCACCTCCTACAGCAGCTCAGCCCTTCCACTCACCAATGGATGACTCACCCGTAACTACAGTGCTCCCACGATCCAACCTTCCAGATCTAAACCATAACACCATGTCAGAAAGACAGGTGAATTTTTAAAAAACCTATAAAAGCAGATAAACATGCAGATCCCAGGAAGACTAATTTCTACCTCTCTACACAATTCAGAGCAATACTTACATGGCCACATGCTCTTTTGTCCTG